CGAACTTTTCATTTGCACCCCCCCCCTCAAACTTTCAATTTGGCGCCCCCTTAAGATAGGCGCCCGGGGACATATGTCCCCCCCCCCCTCGCTACGCCTCTGCCTGTATGAGCTAATCAGTAAAAAAATGAAGTAATGTGTAATGTGTAAGAAAATTACAGAGCACCAGCTGACCCGCGACGTAGCATACGCCGCTAATTAGCTTAATTCCTATTTTTCAGTAATTCATAATTTGTGAATTCGACACTACCAATGCTGCGACTGAAAATATTTTGCTTTAAAACACTATCAGTAGCTAGTGAAGGACGATTATCCTCACCCTGACTTTCCACTCCTCTCCTCCTTCCCCCCCCCCCACTCCGCCTCCGTTAAAGTAGCCAGTTAATAGGCGACAATGAAGAGAGCAAGCAGAACATGTTATTATCTCCCCTTAGTTTCAAATCGTTTAAAAACTAAATTATCTGCCCCTACGATTGTAAAAAGCTCACCAGACTGGTGGGGGTGGTAGCGATATGGTCTGTTGAGCTTACGTCTTGGTGTCTAGCATGGTCCCAATGAAGAGAATTATATATATATATATATATATATATATATATATATATATATATATATATATATATATATATATATATTCTACTTTTCAGTAATTCATATTTTTAAAAATTCAACACTACCAATGCTGCGACTGAAAATATATTGCTTTAAAACACTAGATGTAGCTCGTTAAATGGGTAAAACTCAATCACATTATAAAAACTGTCTCGTGTGAAGATCAAAAGTACGTACTATCTACTGTTACGAAAATGTACAGAAACTTAAATAGACCATGCCTTGATTAGTGTTGGTTGGTATGCATGCGGCGGAAACGGACAGACAGATTCTGTAATTCAAATCTACACGTAGTTTAATGATAAGGAGGTAGGGGGTGCATAATTAATTATTTAAATTAAGTATAAGATTTGTAAAAAAAAAAAAGCTTGTAGAAAGTCGTGGAGGGGGGGGGGGAGGCAAACGATTTCCACTTGTCTGTATCTAGGTGACTATATTAATTAACTTAATTAGATGACGTCATAACTTAGATTACACATCATTCATGTTAATATTCTAACATCTAAAGACTAAATGATGAATTATGAATTTATGACTGAATGTCCGATAAATTGATGATAATCATATGATAAAAAAGCTGAAAACAAAACATCAGGGATGGTTTTGTTTGATTAGGTGAGTCCTAGACGTGAGGGGGTTAATAGCTGCCAGGCTAAGTCAACAGCCGCCGCTTCACAGCTGGTATGGGGTTAAAAATTGCCCGTTTGATTTTTGCATTCACCTGCATAGCATTGCACGAGGAGGAAAACCGGCGGTGCTGTTTTGATTTGTAAAGCTTTCAAATTTTTTATATTACTTTGTAAAATATGATTATAAATATTTGTATTTATTTAAAACATAGAATAGCCCCCTCAATTGACAAAGTGACAATCCTGTACAGAATACGGTGTATTTTTTTGGAAGAGATAAAAAAAAAAAGATTACTAACCAAATGAGAATCCGGAAAGCATGTGGTTTAGGGGTAGGACAAACTGGTGCCGTTTAGAGTCCTAGGTTCAAAGCTTAGCCCATGATTGTTGTCTAAGAGTGTTAAAATTTAAAAAAAAAATTGTTATGGGAATATTGCTAGAATACAGAATAATATTTATACAAACACTAACGCGCACGCGAGCACACACACACACACACACACACACACTAACGCACACATATACACTGCAAAGCCGAGAGTAGTCGAGTTCGACTCCAGGTTGAAATCAGTAGAACGTCCCGGAGTCCACCCAGCTCTGAAGGGTACCTAACATTATCCCCTTTTTATACCGAGGTCGTTGTAACAGATAAACTCTACTTCATCTACCTCATGTATCTTGGGCACAAACAGGAAAAAGTGATAATTGTTCTGAAGTGTCAAAGAAAAATATGTTCTCATCTCCTTAATACCTTCGTTAAGTTTCAATGTGAAGATATGAAAGAAACACTTTCATGACCTACACATTATTATTAAATTAATATGTCTGAATAAAATGAAATTTTAAAAAACCTAACGTTATGATCATCTAAAAACCATCGTTAAATTCAATGTATAAATGTTTTTTAAAAAAAAACGAGAAAAAAAAATATTATCATATCTAAAATCGTCTCGTCCAAATCTCGTAGTAACGAGATTCAATCCGAGATGTCATCTGCACGCGCAACAACTCGATGTGTAAAAAAAAAATTTGAACCAGCCAATCAAACAATCCAACACAACATTGTTACGTCTGATTCTATTGGGAGATTCGTATCCGGTTTGGCCGTTGATGTTCTAACAATAGGTCCTGTTTAGCGCAGGCGCACTACTAGCATGGCCAGTTGTGACCTATTTTTGATGTAAGAGTAAGAGTAATGGTAATGGTAATGGTAATGGTAATGGTAAGGGCAAGGGTAAGGGTAAGGGTAAGGGTAAGGGTAAGGGTAAGGGTAAGGGTAAGGGTAAGGGTAAGGGTAAGGGTAAGGGTAAGGGTAAGGGTAAGGGTAAGGGTAAGGGTAAGGGTAAGGGTAAGGGTAAGGGTAAGGGTAAGGGTAAGCGTAAAGGTAAGGGTAAGGGTAACGGTAAGCGTAAGGGTAAGGGTAAGGGTAAGCGTAAGCGTAAGGGTAAGGGTAAGGGTAAGGGTAAGGGTAAGGGTAAGGGTAAGGGTAAGGGTAAGGGTAAGGGTAAGGGTTAGGGTTAGGGTTAGGGTTAGGGTTAGGGTTAGAGGGTTAGGGTTAGGGTTAGGGTTAGGGTTAGGGTTAGGGTTAGGGTTAGGTAAGGGTAAAGGTAAGGGTTTGAGTTTGGGGTTTGGGTTAAGGTTAGCGTTAGGTGTGGTTAGTTTAGGGTTGGGGTCAGGGTAAAGGTTTTCAAGGTATCAAAATAGAGACATTTTCATGCAAATTATCAGTGACATGTCCCAATTTTACCCTCTTCAATAAAATATAACAAGGTCTTCGTTACGTACTTTTTTCGGTGGCGAGGGTTTACTTATCTGGACAAGAATTACTTTCGGTTTTGTAGTAAGTCTTACTCTTCGGGTGCTGACATTGTAGAATAAAGAAAGATCAATTCAACCAGTATTGAGCTACGTTCTATTTGCATACAGTGTTTCTTCCATTCTTTTTTCTCCGGGGTGGGGGGGGGGGGGGGAGGGACTAAAATTTCCGGGAGGGGCGGACATTGTTAAAAGTATATATTTTCTAAATACATTCCCCCGAAAAGATGCCTTTAAGAAACACTGTTTGCATATGGAGCTCACAATTCAACGCCTACAGTATTTATACTAAAATCGTTGAGTTAAAATTTGAATATTATTTTTCTAAGCTCCCGAGCCCTTCTACTGTAAACATCTCCAAACTAGATGGAGAGTCTGGCACCACACTACGATACCAGAGAGGTGGACTGTGAAGAGGCACTGGTCAATCATTCAGGTGACCTTTGCCTGTACAAACATCGGGGTCATCGGGCGTGGCTGTGGCATCAGTCATCTCCCATACGTGCAACAGTACTCACTCTATCCGTCTAGAAGTATTCTCTATATATTATAATTTTTTGATGATTCTCTCTCTCTCTCTCTCTCTCTCTCTCTCTCTCTCTCTCTCTCCTCTCTCTCTCTTTCAGACACTTCTACGTTAAATAAAATATCAAAGCTTAATAAATAATAAAGGTTAAATAAATTATTTTATGTGTTTATTAATAATCGAGTGTGTAGATAAATAAATAAATTGTTTGGAAAATTGTTTTTATTTCTATGCCCATACATTAAAAAATGTTCTCCGTATAAGGTGTTGAGTGGGACGGCAAAGATCTCGCTTGTCCCGAATGTGTGGGTGTTTGTAGTGTTTGCACAATCGAAATGTCGACATAACAGATCATATGATGGGGGTTTCTGAACTGTGTAGTGCAGAGGGTTATATATATATATATATATATATATATATATATATATATATATATATATAAATATGTGTATAACTGTGTATATATATATATATATATATATATATATATATATATATATATATATATATATATATATATATATATATATAGAGAGAGAGAGAGAGAGAGAGAGAGAGAGTAATATATATATATATATATATATATATATATATATATATATATATATATATATATATATATATATATATATATATATATATATATATATATATATATATATATATATATATATATTACTCTCTCTCTCTCTCTCTCTCTCTCAATATATATATATATATATATATATATATATATATATATATATATATATATATATATATATATATATATATTATACCATTTTATTGATATATTTATTCGTGTATTTGTATAGAAATATGTGTAAAACTGAATATATATATATATATATATATATATATATATATATATTATATATATATATATATATATACATATACAGAGAGAGAGAGAGAGAGAGAGAGAGAGAGAGAGAGAGAGAGAGAGAGAGAGAGAGACCTATACATAAATATTGTTTAGTTAGGTTAACTTTGATAGTCAGGGTAACCCATGTATGGATGGGTGGGCAGCCAATACGTTTAACATCTATTTATGCATCTAGCTAGGTGTATTGTTCTATCATTGTTCCACCATTGCTCCATCATTGTTCCATAGATTGAAAGACTGGCACAGAGGGAGAGACAGAGATCTCCCCATAGATAGGGTATTCTCAAGTAGTTCGCACGTGCACCGCCGGAGTGAGCCATTCAGTTTGCGCGCCGGTACATTATTGATGACGGCGTTTCTGGGACGTCACCGCGCGAGCTCCGCAAACAGCCCACCTCCCGGAGTGTTCCCTGCTCACCCCCCCTACTCTGGCAACGCGCAGGTGTATCCGTAGCGCGAGGAAGTGAGCGAGGGGGCCGGCAGAACAGGTTCTAGACAAGGTAGGTTCGCGCGCAACTGTTTTTTTTTTTCTGTGACTTTTTAAAAAAGTTTTTTGTTGTGTTAAGGTGACCAATAAAAACCGTGGGTGAACGTCACTGCGGATTTATAAAGGGAGAGAATTTGGAAGAGATCTTGTAATTGTACCATACGGAGGAACTGAGGGGACCCGGAGTAGCCGTTCTTAATTCTGTTAGTTTATGTTATATGTGATTATTACATTTAGATTTTTCCAGTATTTAATTATATCTTTTATATTTGTTTGTATTTATTTTAAATAGATTATTCATACATAATTCCCTTTATTCTTTAATTTTCCTAATAACTTTTAAATATGAAACTTGAATATCTTAATTCGATTGCATTGGGATAAACATCTCGACTATCTTATAAAGTAATTCATAATTATATTTGTGTTAATCATTCTGTTATAATCAATTTTGATTGCAATAATAGTTTTTTTAATCGCGGAAGTGGATTTTCAATATTTTTCTTCGATTAAGTTAATTAGATTGATTAGGCTTCTTTGCTTTAGAAGTGAGGTTCCGATTTGTAAATTAACATTAATAGTGTCACATTGATATCACATCTTAATAGATTTTATTCAGTTATTCCACGTATTAATTAGCGCAGTCGTTTATTATGACAAAATTATAAAAACGTCCGTCTATTGCTGTTTGAAACAAAAATTACGTATTCGAAAAAGTCGGTGTGATGGGATGGTAGAGCATATGACTGCTAAGTCGAAAGTCTCGAGTTCGAATCTCGGGTTCGTGTCAGTAGAAGGTACCTGAGTCAACCCAGCTTAAGTATCCGACTCACGTTAGGGAAAGTAAAGGCGGGTGAACATTGTGTATACGGTCAGGTTTGAAAGTCCAATTTACTTACATATTCGAGCTTTTTCTTTAATTTTTTTGTCAAACTCCTTCGTCTCTAATTTCCTAATTAAGTGGAATTGACGGATATTAGATAATCCCTTGTTCATTATAGAATTAGTCTTCTCAAACCAAACTATTCCTAATTATAGAATCTTTATTAGTTTTTTTCTAAACCTAGAACAAATATCGTAATCTAACCAATTTTTTACTTTTGTAACCTTAACCGAAAAAGTTTGTAACTATCATTGGATTAGTATCCAATTAAGGATTAAATCTAACAGTTTAACTTAACATTAAAAACTTTAATAATATTTTTACATTTACTATAAGTAGTTCAATATAGTTCTTTTTTACACTCTATAACCTTTGACCCTTTTATTTACATCTATATGTATACACTTTTGTCAGTTATGATAGGATGCTCTCGTTAGTAACTTGTTATTGGGTGTGTCAAAAACAAACCAAATTTGACAAAAAATCATTTTGTCGGACAAGTGCATTCAAATTAGAAATAAATAATTACATTTAAAAAAAAAAAACCGATCGACCGTCATTTTTTTGACAGATATTCATTTTCTAAATATAAAAGTAGCGTGTTCGAATCTGAACTAGGATAGCTGTAAATTAGCTTGCTTGTAAGATAGCACATATATATATATATATATATATATATATATATATATATATATATATATATATATATATATATATATATATATATATACTCATATTGCTAGTATCTGATATAATTATACTTTATTTTTAAATCCAACTGTATAGATAGAGATTTTGATAGTTTTGTAGTCCAGTAAATCAATACAGTATCGTATAGAGCTTGTCAATATTCAGGTTATGATTTGGATAAGTGCCAGATATGGGACATGCGAGTGTTATTACTAGGTTTGAGGTTATTGTTAGGGTTAAAGCAAGAGTTGGTTTTGGGATTAGGTGTAGCCAGAACATTGTTTTTCGGTGCGAAATTACTGCAGGAAATTGAGCTTTGTAAAATGTGAAGCAGTAATGGAATTCTGTGCAGAAAAGAAAAAAAAAGCTGAATAGCTTTTAATAGCCTATGTGGTCACTTTGCATTTTAATATAGAATTTAGATATACAGACATTAGCCAGATTTTTAAAAAAATGTAAGATGTTTTGTTTTTAGATCAGGCAAGACTTTACAGCCAGTTTTGTTTTTGTTTTCATTTAACACTTTAACACAGGGGTCTCCAAACTTTTCAGCCCGAGGGCCGCATTGACTATCAAAGTTCAGTTCGGGGGCCGTTTCTTCCAGGCATGTCTTTGATTTTTCTGGGTAAAGTTCCTCAGTTATCACCAACAAACGTTTTTTTTCCGTAGACAAAAAGATCTCCGCGGGCCGGATGAGAGGACCTCGCGGGCCGCATCCGGCTCGCGGGCCGTAGTTTGGAGACCCCTGCTTTAGCACGATAGATATTCATGCGTATAATAATTAAACAATATCTAGGAACCGCTAAAAATCAAAAGCCCCCTAAAAATCGAAGCCAGTGTGCACTCCAGATTCCCCCCCCCCCCTCTCTCTCTCTCCATCCCACAGTGCAAGGTTAATTTAGCTGTTATCTCTCTATACTGAAGTTATTTAACATAACCCTTGTTTTTATGCTTAAAATATTGTTATATCCCCCAAATCAATAATCTACCGGGTTCGGCGTGGTCGGGTCGGTAAAGCTCATGATTGCCAAACCGAAAGTCCCGAGTTCGAACCACCGGCTGTGGATTTGGTATCACTGGCCCATGTGGTGCATAACTAATGACACGCAATACTTAATTGTGTAGGAGAAAATCCCGTACAACATTATAATCCAGAACAAATAAGGATCACAAAATTGTTTGTAGTATATTGACATCAGTTATACTGGTCCACATTCCACTTTCGTACATTTTAATTTTATATTTTAAGACAAAAAAGTGTCTGTTTTTCATGACGAGAGTTTGTGAACATTCCAGTATCCGTTTGAGGCTGATTATCCGTTTTTGTTGTGAAAAAAAAATGCATTAAAAAAGATCAGATCTTTATCAGAGTTTCTTTCAGGCATCTATCTACCCCCCCCCCCCCCAGAACGAAATGGAATTTATATAGAAAATATATACTTTAAACCAGTGGCGTAGCGAGGTCGGGTGTCACCCGGTGCGGCACTTAATGGTGGCACCCACCAGAGGCGTAGCGACCCTTCCCGGGGACAAACTTTCAAATTTTCGATTTGCACTCCCCCCCCCCCCTCAAACTTTCGATTTGCACCCCCCCCCCTCAAGTTTTTCTCTATATATTTTGCTATTTTTTGCCTTGTGTCACCCCCCCTAAATGGTGTCACCCGGTGCGGTCCGCATCCCCCGCCCCCCCCCCTCGCTACGCCTCTGCTTTTAACAGTGACTCCCCCCCCGCCCCCCCGAAAATTTCAAGTGCCACTCCCCCTGAAAAAAAAGGCTAAAAGAAACACTGATCTTTATTTGAGAAGAAAAAAAAATTAAATTTAGGCTTTTATAAATGATTTAATTTATTTTTCAGATATTAAAAATTACAGCTGAAAGTCGATACACACTAGAGGAAATATTTAGGAAAAAAATAGTTTTAGTAAACATTTATAACAACCAGCAATAAAGAAAACAACAAGAAAACGAAAGAAGCCACTGAATTGTCCAAGCGTTCACAGGGAGACAATTCATCCGGAAAGTAAGGAACAGTAACTGGTGATTCAATCGACATTCGATTATCTTTTCTTTGTTTTCGCGACAAGCTTTGATCAAGTACATTTCGTATCAAGGTAAGAAAATCTGTTTGTATTTTTTTAAAATCAGTAATCATAAGTAACTTGAACATTTAATTAAATTAACTATAGACTTTTCTTACTATCGGTTTTTTTAAATTAAAATATGCGGTCGTTATTTGATGCACTGCTGATTTCAAAATGCAGTAACAAAGGTTCAGTGTGGTTGTCAAATGGTGCTTTGCAGACCCAAACACCCCTTCCTCAGTATTACACCTATTGCCTGGGGGTGGGGCGGGTAAATACAGCACCCCCCCCCCTTAGTGACGCCTACCGGGTTTACATAATAGAAAGCCCATCTTAGTTAAATGTATCAATACAATAGATTGACAGCCCCCCACCCCCACCCCCACTAGAGGAAAGGAGGGGGGCTGACGCCAAATCGTAAACAAATCATAAAAATATACTGATAAGACAACGTTTTACTTAGTTTAAATAATGTTTTACCTAGTTAAATGTAAAATAATATAGGAAAGGGATAACACAAAACTGAAAATGCAAAAAAGGTTGAAGTGGGGTTGACGCGACACCCCAACATACTACCAATGGTGTAATCCGACACACCCTAAAGACGCCATTTGAGACTGATTGTCCGTCATAAATAAAAAATAAAAGAGAAAATGATATTCTTGGTTTATAAAAATAAACTACACAACCCATGCATTTGTACGCACATTTCAATCTCTCTTTTTACTCAGTGAGAGCATTAGTGCATGCGTGCTATCGATTATGGCATAAGTCAATAGATAGCAAGTCTGCAATTAATCATGATCACACCGGTAGCATTTATGAACTGTGGGTTCGAATCCAGACTTGTCATGTAGGTGGTAGGATAAACACTATGATAAGCAGGCACGTTTTGAGTTGGGCAAAGTATATATATATATATATATATATATATATATATATATATATATATATATATATATATATATATATATATATATATATATATATATATATATATATATACAGACATATATATATATATACATATATAAATACAAATATATATATATATGTATATATATATATATATATATATATATATATACTCACTCTGCTGATGTAAATAACTAGAAATATGGCAGATATATAGTGCATGCTTTATGTATTACGTGTTTTTTGCTAAACTGGAAATTCCTTGCCCAGCCTACTTTCACTTTGAGTATACTACACACACAAGTAATATTTCTCTTTAAGACTTCCTAGTTGGTATTTTTTTCTCTGGTCTCATTTCGTGGCATTGAACTTCAAGACATGAACTTTCACCTCTCTCGAACGCCCCTGGTCATGTACGGCAGTGGTGTCACCCAAAGGTCACGTGATCAACACCGAAATGCTTTCTGTGACGTTCGGCAGTCGTTGCACACCCGTGGTTAACTTTATACTACGTCAACATCGCCTGCAAGTGTGGACAAGCATATTCCATTTTGTTCCGGTTTATTTCAGGGTTTAAAATAAACCCTCAAAGGGAGAGAACTTGTACTCAGGGGAAGGAACTCTACTCACGAGTAATCCATTTTTTTAGTTGTAGAAATAAATCAAATTGGTTGGTTAAATTAAATATCAATCACTTTAACCGTAAATACATATTTTTATATCTACTACTTTCTTCTGCTTTTAACGTCTGCTTCCTTCTGCCTTTTAAGTGAAACATTATTTTATTTAAATAAAAATTATCTTGGACTGTATTGTATATTTATTGTGGCTTTTTTTTTTAAATACAGAATCACCCAAGACTTTCGTCAAAATTGTTTTGTAATCGAAAATAGGAAACTTCGTTTCATTTAAAATTAGTCTTTTATGGCACCTACCACGCCCCCCACCCCCACCTCTAACCCGTCACCCCAAGTCCTAAAGTACGTGCATTGATTAACGCTCGCTTTTTTTTATACTTTTAATATAAACTTCAGTTTCCAGTTCATTTAAGCTCCGCGTTCTTAGCTCACAGCTCATCACTTTCTGACACAACAGCTTTTCAAGTCCTCGCCCCCCCCCTCCTCCCCTTTTTCCCGCCCCCCTCCAGAAAATAAAATAAAATTCCGGCGGACTCATCCGGAAAAAAAAAATCGCACTCTGTCTCAGGAAATAAAATCTTGAGTTGAACAAGTACGGTCACAAAGATTCCAAATCAGGTTTAAATGACTTTTTTGTGGGTTGAAACTGAAATGAAACTTTCTGTGGCCCTGTTGGAAATTTTGTAGTCGTAATGAAACTTTAGGGGTCCTATTGTATTTAGTGGTCCCATACACACTTAAGTGGTCGTATTGAAATGATAATGCCTATTGATAATTTGGTGGTTCTGTTGAGAATTTGGTGGTCCTATTATAAATGTAGTGGTCCTGTTGAAAATGTGGTGGTCCTATTAAAAATTTAGTGGTCCTGTTAAAAATGTGGTTCGGTTGAGAATTAGGTGGTCCTATTAAAACTGTAGTGGTCCTGTTGAAAATGAGGTTGTTCTATTGAGAATCTGGTGGTCTTATTAAAATTGTGGTGGCCCTATGCATATTATAGGAGTCATATTAAAAGTTTATTGGTCCTATTTAAGCTTTAGGATTCCTATTGAAACTTTAGTTGTCCCATGAATATTTTAATCGTACTTATTAAAAAATTTAATTTTAATTATAATGCTAATTTTCTAATTTTATTAATTTGTGTTATAAAACATTAAATGTACTGTCGTATTAAAATTCCACTTTTTTGTTGAATTCGTTTAGCAATGAACAATAGAAAGTTATGATTAGGCTTGTAATAAGTCATACACAGTTATGACTATGGCTTGTTATAACTCATACAGAGTTGTGATATGGCTTGTAGTTAGTGTTACTTCCAGACATCTCTAGGGGGGAGGGGGGGGTGCCCCCGAAGAGAGTCCAACCCCACCCCCTACGAAATGAAGTTTATATAGAAAATATATACTTTTAACAGTGTTCACCCCCCCCCTCCCCCCCCCCCCGGAAATTTGAGTCCGCCCCCCGAGAAAAAAGTCTGGAAGAAACACTGCCTGAGTCATTGAGTTTTGACTTTAGCTCGTTATAAGTCATATAGGAAAATCATTATATTTTGTAATGAGTCACATAGCGTTATGTTGACTGCGTGGCCAAAAGCTAGATCACAGACCTACTCTCATGAAGCGTCCAAGTTCGGTTCCTTAAACCCACGTAGACATCCATTAAGAATACCAAATGACAATCAGAAAATAACGCTCAATGCATTCAAATGTTTTACAGAAATAGATGCACTTTAGCTTTCCTTTCTAATGCCTCATTACTCCTTGGCTGTTTTAGTATAGAGTTATAAAACAAGTAGATCTAAAATAAAATTGCTTTTCCCCTAAATCAAAATTAAATGTATTTTTTAACTCTGAAACGAAATAGAGCGTAATGAAAACAAACTATTATTGAGATGTGAATTATGTGAATTAAAAGATTTTTTCTTTTAAAAAAAATCCAATAAAATATGTTTCGCAATAAAATATGGTCACACTTTTAGCTGTTTTATTACATCTGTCACTAGCAAACATTGCGAGTGTTTATTTAAATAAAAATACATTTAATCTTTGTGGAGTTTTTAAAATGTAAAACGTTGCTTTAAAAAATGCAAATGTTAAAACTTTTTAAAAAAAACGCTCTGGATATAAAAAAAAAACGAAACGAAAAAAAAAACCATTCTCCCGATTTGAGAGTCTGTGCATTAACTAAATTAAAGGAAACTGGATACGGTGAAATTTTTCTTTAAGAGAAATCACATGGCTGGTGTTTATTTGATAAAAACCAAAAGAAATGTGTCCTGTTTCGAATTGATGGAAAACTATTTTACACAAATTTTGTTTACTTCCCCTTATAGTGAATTATTTCCCTTCAAAGCGAATAAACTATGGCTAGCCAATAGTACTGGAAAAAGAGATTATTTAGAAAAAAAAATTGAAGAAAAATTTCATTTTCATATGATGTTTGGTTAGTTTTAAGGTGTATTGAAATATACAGGGGAAATAACTCCGCGATTCGGTTAATTCCCTTGGTTGTTGAAATAAAAATGAAATTTAATTTTTTTTCTTACGGATTAGAAAACAATTAGACCTAGATTTGTAAATAAAGGTGCGTGGGAAATAATGTTGTGATAGGTCAGCGATATATATATATATATATATATATATATATATATATATATATATATATATATATATATATATATATATATATATATACAGGAGAGAGCAATATATATATATATATATATATATATATATATATATATATATATATATATATATGTATATATATATATCGCTCTCTCCTTCACTCTTTCGATTTTCGTTCGCTTTTTCTCTGTCTCTCTTTCTCTAGCTATGTCTGTCTCATCTTCTATGTAGCTTGACCAACACCATATTATCTGTTTCTAGTTAGCACAGATGCAATCTTTAATACATATATATATATATATATATATATATATATATATATATATATATATATATATATATATATATATATATATATATATATATATATATATGAATATCTTTTTCGAACATTTTGACTTTGCTCACCCAAAAAATCTGGCATACGATGAAGTATCAATAACAACGATGTGATATTTACACACCACCCACGACACTGGTGTAGCAATGGTCAAACCAATCTATAATTCATCACTGTAATCCGTCTTCTTGTTGTTTTAAAAACAAAACGAAAGTAGAGCGGAAACGGAAATTCAAAGTGCGAGTATGAAAACGATTTGAGGGGGTGGGTAGAAAGAGGAGAAAGTCTTATATATTGTATCCTACCTCCTACATCTAAATTCTAAAGATCGAAACGAATTTCCTAATGTATATTTTTTTTCGTAGACAAATCTATAATACGAGAAAAGTAATTGCTGGCTTTTGGCGGGTTATGTACAGACGTATTGATTGTGTGGTACTTTAAGATTAGTGGCATCACACAGCTAATCTGTTTCATCGGACTTATTGCTTTTTTAAAGTAAGTAATAATAGC